CTCTCTCTGTCTCAAAAATAAATAAAACATTAAAAAAAAATTTATTTTAAGCCAACTAGACCCTGAGCCAGAGACGACTCCTCCTTTATAGGTTATATGACCTTAGGCCCAATACTTAACCAACCTGACTTCAGTCTCCTCACTTGGGGATTATGCCCACCTTAGTTTTGTAAGAACCGAAATGGTAGATGAGAAAAACCTATCAGACAGTAGGAGCTCGATCATTGGAAGCTACTGATTAAGTGAATATTAGGTCATTTCCCCCACTCAGAAGTCCAAGGATTTTTAATTGCTCATAGAATAAAGTTCAAATTGTCTTCTTTTAATGTTTATCCACTTCTCTGTCCTATTTTCAAAGAGAGAAGTAAGATGGCCAGATTGGTGTTTTCGAACAGTATATAATATCCTGCAAGATGTTAAGAAGTATGTCCAGGAGAAGGGATTTTATGGTCAAAGAAGTCTGGGAAATGCTTGGTTAAACAATTCCAAATAGATTCTTTGTGACAGGACTTCCAAGAACCTTAAATATGCTGATATGTGTGGTAAATCACTAAAAAAGGGCCACAGAGGAGATGTTTTCTTAACTAAGTCATTTCTTATTTGCCTAAGAAACCCTTCCTTTAAAAGGTGGGCCACTAATTCTCTGGAAAATAATTTGGGGATATGTTTTCCCTCAACTCTGATAGCAGCACAAAAAGGGCAGGAGAGAGGAAAGGCTGGGGACATGGATTAGGGAGCTGTGGCCATAGTGCAAGTGGGAAATGATGAGGGCCTGAACTAAGGGAGTGGCATTGGAGCAAAGACAAGTCAACACATCTGAGTACATCTAAGGAGGCAGAGTTAAGAGAATTTGATGATTAACTGGATATAGGGAGGGAGAGAAAGGAAGGAGACAAGAATGACTCATGCATTTGCTTGGTTAACTGAATAGGTGTCAGAGCCCTTCATTGAGATACCAACAGAGACAGGAAGGTTATGTTCTGAGATTTCAGCTTTATATGTGTTGTGTTTGAAGTGTTTATGAAACGCCCCCATGGAGGAACATGGGCCTGGAGCTGGGGAGGGAGGAAGGACCCAGAGAGAAGGATTTTGGAGTCATAATGCAATGGGTATGATGTGAATGGATGGGATCACCCACAGAGAGTGAGTAGAGCAAATGAGGAAGAGTTATAATCAGGAAACCCTGGGAAAGCAACTTCTAAGAGGCTGATAGAGAAAAAAGGTTAGATTAAGGAAAAAGAAGAATTATCCAAAGAAAGATGAAGAGAACCAAGAGATTAGGCAGGGGATACAAAGGTGGAGGAAACTTTGAGGAAAGAGTGGTTAGCAATCTCAGACACTCAGAAAGGTCAAGTCAGATAAGGCTAAAAATAAGTTCGTTGGCTTCAGTAACAGTGGCCATGTTCTTTTGCTGGGCAATTTCAGTGGAAAGATGGAGGCAGAAGCCATTGTGAAGTTAATGGGAGAGTGGAGACAGTGAGTATAACCAATATTTCAGAGGGGTTTTGACCGTGGAGGGAAGGAAAGAGGAGAAGGCAAGAGGAACAGTGTTATCGGCAGAGGGAACAGCGTATTTCCAGCACAGATATATCAGCAGAGGATAGGACACGCAAGAATGAAGAAGAGGGAGGTGTCAAGAACGCCATCTCTGATTCAGGTAGACAGGACCTGGAAGGTCCTGAAGCGGGAAGGTATATGGCAGGTTTGAGGCTAAGAGATGTCCAAGGTTGGCTATTTAAACTATGCTAAAAATTTTTGGTTTCATCTCATCTTTTGTGTGAAGCCACTGATTTAGTAGTTTAAACATATGAATGGCATGAGATTGCATTTTTAAAAGATCACTTGAGTTACATAGTGGAAAATATGTTGGAAGAAGGCAAGAATGGTTGTGGGGAGATGTTAGGTGGCTATTGAAGTGACCCATAGGAGAGATGATGATAACTTAGATTAGGAGTATAGCCATTAAGGTAACAATGATGACAGTCATGGTGACGATATGTTGATGGTAATGGTGGTGGTGGTGATGGTGGTGGTGATGGTTGCGGTGATGACATTGAGGTGATGGTGGTGATGATGATAGTGATGATGATGGTGATGATGGTGGTGATGATTATAATTGTGGTGGTGATGATAGCAGCTAACACTTTTGAAAGGACATCATATGTATTATCTTACTCAAAGGAACTTATCTCAAAGGAACTCTATGAAGCACATACTATTATTATCTCCATTTTGTATATA